TAAAAATTGAAGTATCATTTGTTTTTATATTTATAAAATAAGAAGATAGAACAAATAACTAACAATATTGACAGTCATTATGGGAACTATTCAGACATCATATAGCACGAAGTTGTTCTGTATCATATTCAGGAAAGACTAACATTATTTTGTAAGAAAATTTCAAAGAAGAGCAATATATGAATGATGAAATTATTTTTGATGAAAATATACAACTTTTAGTTTTCCTGTTTTCGATTGTAAAATACTCTTACCTTTATGTGTCTTTTTAATTTAGAAGTACATAATTTTTCAAAATTTTTCTTACTTGTTGTTGAAGACGACACATTTTTTCGTATATTCAGATAAACTGTCAAATGATATAAATTATTGTTTAGAGAAAAATTAGTTATATCAATATATATAGAATGTACAGTAAATAGTTGATCAATAGAACACAATAACATTAGTCAAAGCATTGATTGACGGCCGCAGTTGAACGTAGTGTTACTTTTTTCGTCTTTCGGTGATGTGACGGCTGACATTGTCTGAAATGTTGATGACGATTCCTCCGATTGGCTTACACCGCTAGAAACATACAAATAATAGATAACAATGGATGTAAACGACTTTCAACTCGAATTCAATAAGATATTAGGTTATTGATAAAGAAATGCTTGTTGAATGTTCTGTGCCGATCATAAGGTCACAGCCTATGTGTATCTTTTATTGACTTATTGATGGGTGAGCATTTGGACACTATGTGGTTAGACGTTCTGACCTCATGATCGATAGTAGCTGCCCATTTACTCTGTCATCTAATCATTCTTTCTTCTCTCGTATGTCAGCTCGTATTTTGTATGAAATGGAGAGAACTGGATTGATGAAATAGAGTACTGAACATCTGACAGGTCTATTCATCATTTTCGTTACATGATCGAAGCCAAAGAAATTTCTGAAGTAAATATTGATGGGTACTAGTAGTATCTGTTCAAATCAGATAATCATTTTTGTAATGATGACTGAAGATTTTGTTTTTTGAATTAAAGAGACATTGTTGGATAACATAATTTTCTGTGAAACTTTGAAAAAAAAGTTGCATTTAAAAATTATGTAATTCCCAATGATCACAGCGTTGAGTACAAATCAGTCTCTCTTTAGAATAAAGTTTTAGTGTATCATATTGATAATGGTCATTTGTCTTAAGACAATAAAATATTTTACATAATTATACAAAAAATGGTCACGACTACTTCATTCAAAATGAGTAATATTTATTATTAATCTATTAAATATATTTTTATAACTTGTTTATTGACAAACTTAGTCGAAAAATTAGACGAAATTGTACGAAAAATCTTCGTTTCTGAAATCTTACGCTATATCGTATCTTAAGATTCTTGAAAGATCTTATCGATATCTAAGTTTTTCTATAACTTTATTGTAATATCGTACAAGGCAGAAAGTTCTTGTACGCATCTTACATTATGACTTGAGTTAAGCTTTTTGAGACACTATGATTTTTCGTACGATTCCCTTCTGATTTTGTAAGAACAGAGATACAACCTTGTATGAGCGTGCAACATCTTGAAGTAAAATTCTGTATGAAGGTGCAAGAATCTGTCATCGATCTGAATGTCTAATGGGTTTACTTGGGTATTCTTAGCATACGATACAGAAATTCTTTACATGTTTGTTTATTGTCTCTCATAGTCATAGATATACTTCAGTCAAGATATCTTGATTTTATTCTGAGTGCTACTATAGTCTACAACAGTTAGTTCAGATCTTTAAAATTTATTATATTTAATACACAATCATATACGTATTCATCATGAAAACAAGAGAAAACCAAGCTGTAATGTTCTTTTTCATCGAAAAATTTATTCGTTTCAGTACCTAGCATGTGAATATCAAGTAATATGCGATATGTTAAATCCAAACCATATCTTATAACCAGCTGTTCTTCTGTAGTATCAGTTTGTCATAAAAAAATAATTATGTCCTAGGAGTATTTGTAGATGTAGAGTGTGTGTTATAGTCAATTTGATGCGATGTGAGCAAGAGACATTTCTAATCAAGATAGTATACATAGAGTTCGACTAAAGAAAACTTGACATTGGAACTAACTTGATAGATCTGCCAAAAGCTTACAGTATCATGATCACTGTTTGCATGGCACCTTTTCCAAATCTAATACGACAAGCATAATAGGATTACAAAATATATGACAGACGAAGTAAATGACTTCAATCAACATGCTTGACGATGGAATAGTTTTTTGTTGACTGTTGAAGTTGTACTACTATCACTTTTGGTCATGAATAGATCACGAAAGAATTTTATTAAATTTGAAATATTAGAATAATGATTAGAACACAAAAGAATTTTCACTATTTATCAAAATGAATGTTCTATATGTTTGCATATTATCTATCATTCTTATAAATGTTTGTATTTATAAATTTTCAAAAAAATGTCGTTCTTCACAAGTTTTCAACAAATGTCATTCGAAAACAGAAAAGAATCGTTTAGCTTATTGTGTTGACACCTATGAAATTTTCAAAGATTGATAAGATCAAGAATGTATTTCATTCGAAATGGGCGTGTTGTTTACTGTACGTATTCACAAATGAAATGTTCTAATTGAGTAATAAATCGATCATCTAAAGATTTATGTTGTTGTTATTGCCGTTTTTGCTGTGAATATCGGTGTGAGTATTCTGTTGGTTCACATCGACACCATTAATTTCTATTTTTGAACAATCTAGAACTATCTGAAGTAACACGTAAATTATTATTATGTACAGCTCAAATTTAATTTTGCTCTTTTGTCATAAGATAATATTCGATGTGAATATAATAATCAAGAAATACGAAAAGGATGAGCAGATTTTAAAAAAGATATTTTAAATGATATTATTTTTAAGAAAAATATTCGTTCTGGTCATGGTAAATGACAATATTTAATGTTACTACCAACTATAGAACGTCTGACAAAATTTTCCATGCATTAATTTCAGAACTTTATTTTTTTATATACGTACATATGATCTTTCTATTTGAATATGCATTTCTTTGGATTTTAAACAGCATAATCAACGAAATAAATCTATATTTAAAAACAGTTAAATGGTAAAATCAGTAGTGGCACCAGAATTTCTGATTAGGTGGAAGACTCTGCTTCTCTCTCTCTACGGATTTTTGAGCAGCATCGGGGGAATTTTTTGAAAGATGTATTTATTTTTTTGATACAAAAATGTTTTTGTTTTTGCAATGAAAAATTTTGACATATATATCTTACTATGTTGAATTCACATGTGTTTTTCGAAGGCAAGAAAATACAGTAGATAATAAGTGATAATCACACAAAAATAATAAAGTAATGAAAATGCAGAATTCTTAATATTTACTGTATTTTCTCTTCTTCGAAAACACATATGAGTTCCACAAACTAAGAATACTGTATTAAAACATTTGATTGCAAAGATTAACACATTTTTGTATCAGAAAAAAATTCATCTTTAGAAAATCTCTCCACGAAGAGAGTCTCAAAGGACCATAGGAGAAAAAGCTGAGTCTTCTCTGCCTCTGACGACTCAGTCACTGGCTATGGTATCAAATGTTTATAGGTATTGCTGATGAGTTACAACATCCTTTCTTAGATTAGTTGAATTCAGGAATGCATAAATAGATGTTGATCATTGTCATATATTCGAGCAACTAGTAAACAAACAAGAGCAGCTAAAGAGTTTTCCCGACAGTAGCAAACGTGCTGTTTGGATGAGTTCATGTAGTCTTCAGTATATTAGTTTGCTGGAACAAAATGAAAAAGATTATAATATTCTATTGATTTTCACCACGATAAATAGATAAAAATTATTTTCTTTCTATTTGATGTTAATCTTTTGAATCTTTTTTTCTTGACCTAGTGGCCATGTTTTAAAAATGCACAAAATCTAGTTTTGTAAAGATCTTAAGCGTATTATCAAATGGTAGAGGAAAGAAACCTTTAAATCATATAATTTTTGTAAGAAAAATTGTCTCATGATGAAAATTTATGTACATACACAATGCATATATCCTAAACAAGACCTGTTAAAATCTAGCGGACCAAGCAAACCTTTATAAACGAAATCTAAACGTATGCATAAAGTTCCAGGTATGGCTAAGGTTCATCAAATTTATATTGCACCACTGTTCATTTTATGAAAAAATTTGAAAACGTTCTTACAAAATGATCAAGTCGGTTAAGAACCAAGTGACATACTAAGTATCGCCGAAGATCAGTAAGATTTATTTCTGAATGTTTAGGACATAAACGAATAGTTTACAGGTTAAAATAATTCACTTGATTTTCACTCTCATCCTCCAGAAAATGTTCATTCGACAGAATGAAAATTTAAATAATTTCCATTAATATTAAGCTTATAGGAAAATAGAAATAAAAAACGTATGGCTTTTACAGGTCTGTGTGAAATCTCTTGAAGAAATGACAGATCAATGCTTTTTCAAGACATTTTTCTCACAAGATATCCAACCTTGAGCATGTGTCGAGTAATGAAAGATTGACTCATGTTGTTGTTACATATGAAATGTCAAGAGATAATCTCAGTTGGATCAAGATACTAATCTTTATTGAATGCTTTCATTAAGAAACGTCTTGTGGATCATTGCTGAAACTTTTCCGTTGAGCATAAATAATATTTTATACATTTCTGTTTATTGATGATTAGCTGACGACTCATGAACGTATCATCATTGTGACTTGAGAATTCATTCAAAAAATTTTATTGCAGTCTGCATATTATATATATCAATAAAAATCGAGCATTGTTAGTTTGTTTCATCAAAAATGATCAAAATTACGCTTAAATTTACGGGCATTTGTTAGTTTTTTGTCTTAAACTCATATATTAAATAAAAGAAACGGATAATTAGAAAGAGAAACCACTACATTCGTTGATTTGTTGTTCTGATGCTTTAATAGCATCACAGTCTAAAAAATAATATGCCGACTTCTATTTTATTGGAGGATTGTTGCCACGTTTATTTTTAATATTAGATTTGACTTTAGCAATTAAGTCTGTCGAATTATTTACTATGTATAATCGATCTTTCCAGTCCTGGATACTCATGGATGGTGCTTGATTTTGTAAATGATACATTAAACCTTCTTTATCTTGAGTAAAGACAATTACCGGAACCCATTTTAAGTGAGAACGATCCAAGAAAAATAACAGATTCAATGGATTTTTATCTTCACTTTTATAATAACCACGACAAATAATTTGAAATGGAGATGAAGATGATTTTATTTTCTCCATGGTCTTTTGAAGATAATTTTCTGCCATCGAATATGTTTCACAAAATTCTATATGAACAGGTTGCTCATTTATTAGTTGCTTCATCACTAAAGAATTGTCATCGGTTTTCTTATCGATCCAAAGTATATATGAATTTGTTGGTGTAGTGTTTTTCGATATTCTCTCAATATGAATACCGGAAGTGTTCTTCGATGATCCGGCAAACTTCGTACAAGAACTCATTGATGCAATTATCCAGTTGATATTATGATAATAATTGGAATTATCTATGTTCCAAAAGTAAGTTGCGTCATAATATCCATCATAATAACTTGGCAGGATATTGATCGAATCATTTTTATATCTATTTATTTCATATCCATATGGTTGATATTCATATGGTTGATACTCATATGGTTGATATGTATATGGTTCAGATCTATTTGTTTCATATCCATATGGATGATATTCATATGGTTGATATGTATGTGATTCAGATCTGTTTGGGCGAATTGGTTGCACGCGACGGCGAGAATCATTAGAGATGGCCTTTATGGTATATAGATCGTGGACAAGAGTCTTATCAGTCATATATTTGTAAGGAATATAACAGTAGCCTTTGTCACCCTAAAAGCAAATCCGTATAGTATTCATCCAGTAGATATTAACATGAATGACAGAAGGAAGTCTCGAAAAGATTCTCATGAGTCACTTATACTCTATGTGTACTATTGATTGAATTAAAAGAAAGTCACATTACTTCAATAAATCTATTGTTTTTGATGTAAAGTAGGAAGCTATTCAAGATATTATATTGAGGATCTTGAATTGTTTGTTCATATTGCATCGATAGAACCCAAAAAATAATATTGTCTTCAGAATTCAATAATTCATAATACTTGTCAGTCTCGCCTATCAGATCTACCATAAAGAATAAACCTCTCTGCTTTTTTATCATCATTTTTTCCCTTGTTCACTCTTAGATTGAATCAGTAATCAAAAGGCAACATGAACAAAGTATACTTAATATGTTACTTATTCAATGTGACTTTCAAGTTACATCAAAATATGATTCCTTTTATTGAAAAAAAGTAGTCAAAATTCTTTTCCAAATTTGATATTTGAACATTGTTCTATTATCCTTATACTTGTTCATCTAGCAATAATTTTCCTTAAAGCATTTTTTTGTACTTAAATAAAGACAATTGATTTATATCTCGATAAGATGTCGTACTTCTCTATAGCTATTCATTGTTTCCTCTTTCAAGCAGGATGCATCTGGTAAAAAGTTTTGAGCTACTTCGATCAAGTAACCATTGTCATATTGTAGTAAAAATGATAATGCATAGATTGAACAATTAAGCTAAGCTAATAGCTTAAGAAGAAAAAAATTGGGACGAATTATTTTGGTGACGTGTTCAAATGGTTTTTGAATCTTGTCTAACTGAAAAGCTACTGACTTCAATTTTTCAGAGTTTTAATAGTTTAATTTTCATTAATGCATCTCATTCCAGTGTGACATATGAGAAGGATAATCATGTTTACTTATGATGTTCAAAGAGAGCTGTTAACCATTAAACTATGAATTCTTAAGACTAACTCGATTTCTAGTAGTTGACAAAAACTTGTGCTAATTTATAAGAATTCATCAAGAAATATGTGTGTGATTGAAGAAAAATGCTCTGAAGTAGTTTTCATCATTTCCTCTGATTTTTCTACTGTTTGAGTAGAACTTCTTTTCTCCTTTTATTAGAACAATTTAATCAATAAGCAACGTCGAAAAACGTATGAGTCTTCTAGATTGATACCATTTTTAAAACTTAATGTAACACTTTTTTTTAACAAATTCATACTTTCACAAACAAAGAGAAGCAATTGATCGTACAAACATTTTCATGGATAATATTGATTATGTACACGAAAAAAAAGTGAATATTAAAATGAATGAGAATATTGCAATGATGCCTATTCAATGTTAACCATGATAAATATTAAAAAAAACATGAAATTCATCAAATGTTCTCCGCTCTAAATATTCTTTTGTTTGCTGATCAAGCATCTATAATCAAAACCTAAACGATATCTATCATTGCTGTTCAACAGAAAATAATTCTTTACTGTCTTAAAATGTTTTTGTCGATCTTCGAATTCTGAAGAGATATACGAACAGTTCAAATGAAGACAAATGGAATGTTTGCTGTCTTCATCTTTCTCAAATGTAGGCGGAGTTTTTCATTCGCTTGCGTAGAACTGAAGTCATCTATCAATTCACTGGTATATTTAATTATTTAAACCATATCTGCAACGCAGTGTAGTATAACTAAGTTGAGCGAACATGAAAACAGAAGACTCTTTCTACGAAGTGTAAAATGTGTACAATAGCTCAAAAAGTCGCAATTTTCAGTTTATGTATGCGTTTTCGATAATTTATGTTTGCTGGAATCCTAGTGCAGATTTTTACTTATAATAGAAAACCAAGGATTGAACTAGAGGCAAAAGTGCACAATCGTCACCCAAGTTCTAGAAATTAGTGACCATATAATTAGACTCATTTGAATAATATTGGTTCTAGATTTTTCACCCCTACTGCTTTGTCACCTATTTGGACTGTGATTAGACCATTAGAATGACGTTTTTCTTGGAGTTATGGATTCAGCATATTTTGCTTCTCATTTACGCATGCTTTTTGCTCTTAGCAAATACTCTGCCATTCATTTTATTTTAAAAGAACTTGAAAACCTTATACGACCGGATTCTTTCAAACATTGATCAATCTCAACGAAAGTTTAAAGGAAAAAATTAGATAATCGAACAAGAAACTTACCCAGTCTGAGCCCCATGAATTTCTAACAATGAAACATTGTGCTCGGTCGCTGTATCCAACTGCCAACATCGCGTGGAGATTATGTTTTTTGCTGCCTTGTTCATTGCTTTCTGGCATCGTCACAATTCCGCCATTTGTTTCAGCTTCACCAAACGAAACGAATAATCGAATACCAAATGCGAACGGATATTTTTGAGCCAGACATGATTTCATCTCATTTAGATCCACTGCTACAGCCATCCCATCTACTATACGATACTTTTTGGCTTCTTCATAGCAATATGCTGGTGGCTTTTGATTAATTTTTTTAATGTTGTATGGATATAATTTTTCTTTGCAACAGCCATCCCGTTTCAATGTTTTAATGGCACCCAGTATCGTACAACCATCATCTTCCATATTCTCTTCACTCATTCCATCTTTAACACGAGCATTGTAATAAATAAACAAACGACTGACATCAATATTTTTTTTAGTGTCTACCTTTATTAGAAATTCATATGCACCTAAAATTCAATATTTGATCTAATGACATATATATATATATATTAAGATCTTACCAGCTAATGCATTAGCGACACTAAACAAAAAAAAAATCGTGAAAAAATTAATTAAATTAAACTATAAAAATCGAACACTGCTTAAGAATACGATAACAAGAGGATAGCCAATTTTAAATAACTATTTAGAACATTTATTCTTAGAACTATTGTCGAATTTAGACTCAACTTTAACAAGGTACTAACCATGCATTGGTCTCTTTTTGATCTTCAACCGCCGTCATCATTGATCTTAAATCAACCAATGGAGGTAGGTCTTTGTCTGCAAACATCCGCGAAGCTGCAAATTTTGGTTCATCAACTGGTGTTGTACTAAGCTTGCAGCCACCGATACGATAACGTTTGCCAGTTGTTGGATTAACTAAATATATTTGTTCAGCCATAATAGCTACAGGAGAATCAATAATCTAGAATCGAAAACTGGGACGAATGTCGTATAAGATATGGTAAAAACATCTTGTAAAGCATTTGACAAAAGAAAACAAACTATTATTGTAAACACTCATTTGAGTTAGAATGTTTTTTGAAAGCTTCCTACATAGTAGTATTTTGAAAACAATTGATTTGAGAGCACTTTTAGTCAACTACTCTGCATTTAATAGTGCTACAATGTCAATCATAATAATAGATACTGCTAACTTTGCAAGCTACAATTAACCATAATTATGAAGCAATATTTGCAAGAAAATGTTAGTTTCACAAGTTTAGTTCTCGTTCTCATTGGTTTTATTCATATTAGTATAATGTAACAATAAAAATTGTTCGAGCATCAAACATTTGTCTCATCAATTCATATGTATTGAAGTTAAAACTTGGACATCTTTTCTGGATATTTGAAACTTGAAAAACAAATATTTAAACAGAATAGTGTCGCACTAACTGAGTATGTTACAGCATACTGACTAGTGGATATTAACATTTGAAATAATTTCATTAGTTTTTTGCCGCTTTTTAGAATGATTTGCGATTATTCAAAGATAGGATAGTCTATCAATACCACTGCAATAAAAAAGAAATGAAATATCTCTGCATTGGTTCAACTAAATGGACTGATTATTTGGTAAGTAGTAGCAGTTCATTCAAATTTTTTTTTTCGTACATATATGGTACGCAAATACTACTATTAAGTATTTTTATTGGTATCATGAAAGCAATTTTACGTGTTATGAAATACAAAAGAGATATATATGTCGTGTTTCATAGATAATTTTCACATGTCATCTACAAGACTCATAAGAATAATGTAAAAGGAACTTTGTCAGCGTTTTTGTATTGATGCACATAGAAAACACTTTAAAATTAATTAGTTTAAAAGCCAATGGTTACAGAATTTCGAATTTTCAAACATAAAACGTTGTTTTTCGCAAGAAAGTTAATGTTTTGGTTCTCAAGATGACTGCAATTGCATGTTTTATTTATGAAGCACAAACTTTAGCATTTAAGGTCACTCGTTTTGTGAACTTTCTCTATGAGGATTAATACAGAATTACATTTTGCCTTGTTCTAATTATTCTCTTAGATAATAACTGAAAATAATCTATGAAATACGATACATATTTCTTTTTAATTCATAATAAGTAAAATTACTTTCATGATATCAATAACAATACTTAACAGTAATATTTTTTTACCATATCTGCATAATAAAAATTTGAATGAATTTC